CTTACTTGTTAGAGTTAATAAGTCGAATTCACCATTATTGCATGCAAAACAGACAAGGCGATAGGTGCCTAGCCATCAACTCATTCTCGTAAGAGACGCCGAGAGATAGAACTTCAGGTTCTTCCGAACCGAAAGAATCATAACGAAATGGATCCGAAAAGGACTAATGTTATGGTATGGATTTCTTTTTCTTGTAGGCCCGCTAAGCGCATAACCATTCCGACGAGAAAGACTACTAAACAACGAGCTTCGCTGAGCCCTCCCTTCAGTAGGTACTGTATTACTATTACCCAGACCGAGATAGAAATGGACTCCTGGACGAAGGATCTCCTCTTCTGCTGATAGAGCCGGGATTACGTCCTCGCTCTAAGAAGTAGGCAAGTCAACTAGCTAGCACCTCTTTTATCATAGGCATTTTGGTCAGCAGGCTACTCTTTCAGATCAATTCCTGGAGTCATGCCAACAAAGCCAGATGGGTGCCGCAACCCCTTCAGTAGTTGATCTTGCCATTGCTATTGATACAGATTTGGGCGGAGCAAGCAGATCCAGGGATGCCTCAGGGTAACCCAATTCTATGGCCGTATAGAAACCTTGTTCTGGGACTTCCCGTGGCAAAGATACCTGAGAAGTAAGAAACTAGCGGTTAGAGAGCCACGTTCCTCTCTCGGAGTTCGAGTTACTCCGTTCCTCTCTGTATTTTACCTCTTTTTACGCTCAACTGAAGGTAGGGGCTTTTCCCATGCCATAAGAGTGAGTGAACTGCCTGACAATTATGATTGGGTAAGCGGGCTCCTTTCACTTTACTATTTCTTTCTATTTTAAAAATATTTTTTAGGAGGTAAAAGGAATAAGATTAACCAGAATATATGTTGCTTACGGCACGGCAGAGCTAAAGCCTTACGCCAAGGATCAAGACGGGAATTGGAGATCTTCACTCAAGATAAAAGAAATCGAGATTAGGTAACCTTGCATTTCACTAGGGGAATTAAGACAAAGGGTTCTAGGGATAGAGAGGGAAGGTGGGTATCCTTAGAAAGTGAATATGCGCTTTTCACAGACCTGCCTGACCAACTTGATGAAAGTAGAAGTTCTTTCTGGAGTGACTTCCTATCCCCTAACGCAGTAAAGGGAACGAGTTAAATACAATACGCGAGTCATAATGGTCTAGGATCAGATTGCGACTTCCTTCTTTCTCTTCTTTGTGTAGAACGGGAGCTCGGTAGATAGCCCGAAAGTGTGGGGGAACTTTATTGCTCAATTGAGTTCGTACGGGTCGATGAAATAAAAGTGACACTTAGTCTAACGGCTTCAACAAGCTAGAAGAGAAGGAAATAGTGAATTGAATAGCACTTGCAAGAGGAGTAGTGCTTCAAGTAAGCTCAATACGGACAGAATGATACACAGAGGCAGGGTCAAATGATCCCTAGAAACTAAAGTAAAGCTAAGGGAATATCCCCAATATTCTTTCTTCCAAACAATTGGATCCTGACTTCCTACCAGGTCTCAAGCATTCCTCTCTCACTTAATCAATACCCTAAGGTTCCTTTCTCCTTCTTTATATGTTTAAATAGACTCCATGTTGTGAGACGGATTCCGCTAAAGCTAAACTCAATAGAATACTACCAATGAATACAGCTGCTCCTTTGACTCGGCTTATAGATCCGAGTGGATCAAAAGGTGGCTTCTGAAGAAGTTCCCTTAGTTCGGTTCCCCACAATCACATGGACTTAGGACTTTAGGATGGGTGCTACAGATTTGATCAATAAAGGTATCCCTAGAAACCTGACAAAGAAAATTTGGATTCGGTGAAGAGCAAATAAGTAAAGGATTATAAAGAAGAGGGTCAGGTGCCAAAGCCCACCAGATTCCAAATCCCAATATTCGAGAAGAAGAAGTGAATAGATTTCTCAGTCCACCTCTTTCAGGAGATCGAAGAAACCGACTATCCATTCGGAATGGAAGTTGACTTTGCTTTGCTACATAAGGAATCCAAGGAGAATGAAATGCATATACAGCTGGCCAATATGAGGAGGCAATATTTTGGATTTGCCTCGCTTCGGGAGGTGCATTATGCATGACCGAGATCAAAAATACATAACTATGGGCGCTCTATGAGTGAATCGATCTGGAGGAAGAAGGAGACGCAATGGTCGAAAACCAATAGGTTAATGCATATATTAACCGGGGTGATCATCCGATGACAAATGCTGGTTTGGAAACAGAGAAATAGATTATCTCTGCGAAAGAGAAAGGGAAGAACCCTATGGGGAAATCATCTAAATCTACTTTGAACGCAGGTAACTTGGCTGCGAAGATTCGCGCTCGACAGGCGGCTACGGTAGCCCATCCTGCCCGGAGAACGTCAATGGCATCCCCGTTGTGTCTATTACCGACAAGGTAATAGATGAAAGACTAGACATATGAAAAAACTGTCTTATAGGCAGATTCAACTCAGGCAGGCCTAAGATGGACGTCCTTAGGAAAATTGCCATGGAGATCTGGAAACCGAAAGATTTGAAATCCTTGATGGATCGGGTTTGATCTTGAATCTGACATGAGCCATGAGGCTATGAGA